GATAATATTTTTATTATTATACATTTTCAAGTTGTATTTTTAAAAATGTTACTGAACGTTAATTTTCCTCCCTCTCCCCCATTAAGTATATAATAAATAATCTTTTTCAAAATGTATAATAAAATATTATTTAATATATTAATTATCTCTGTGCAACTTGAAATACAACTTGAAAATGTATAATAATCAGAAACATGGTCATCACAATAGGTTAATAGTATGGAGCAACTTCTATAGTACCCATGATTTATTATGAACTTTTCTCCTTCTCTCTTAATACATAACATTTCCTTATAGTTAAAGCACAATGTTTTCAGGCTAAGTAAATGGAGTAGTCTGCTTTCCATTTGGGCAAACTGTACAATGTGCCAAAAGATAACAGTAATCAAATTCTCACACACGTACTGCTGTGCTCATAGATAGAGCTCCTAAGCAATATTTCATTTTATGCCTTCTTATAGCAGGATATGGACATTAGGTAGAAGATATCAGTACTATTTCCCACAGGTTTTGGTATTTATCTATCATCCTTAGCATATGTGCCTGCAAAGCCAGTGTGATGTTGATGCTTGCCCTGGTCTACAACAGTGCCACAGCAGAAGGAGCTCTCTGTGCTCAACTCCTATTTACTTGACAGTCTCCTCTAGACACATGTATATGCAGGTGCTCATCACTGTTCAGATATTTCCCATTTACTACCCTGCACAGGCACTGATCTGCCCTGTGCACACAAGAGATGTTCGTTATCATTGTAATGACTTGGAAGCCCAAAGTGCCGGGGTTTCTCTGTGTACACTAATCAGACTAATAAAATCAAATCCTACCTATGTTCATTTGGAAATCAACAGGACTTGGAGTCGGACTTAAGCTTGCATAAGACTGCAGTTCTAAATCTATCAGGATTAGAAGGTACCTTCAGACACCATTTCAACACACAAAGTCACTATTCAAAAGGGTGGTTTTTTTGCAATTTCACAGTTTTGCAGTCTATCTCTATACGTGCTTTGAATCTCTATGAGAAAGGGGGACAAGGAATGAAGTGAATTAAATAAACTTGTAACCTCATTTATAGCATTTATCATTAGTATTTACATAATTACAGTTTAAATTATGTTGGGGGGGGGTTTCAGGTGGTACATTGATTAAAACATTGAAGCAAATATGGAGTAAGCACAGTAGCTTTATATCATAACAAGTGGAGACCCGCAACAAAATGTTGCGTACTGTGTTCAAGTTTATTTTAAGTTGTAATTGTGGTGTAGGATTTGTAGTCACTAAATGTATAGATGCCTTGTGGTGATGCCCATTCATCACAGAGCATGGAACTGTCCTGTGTCTTGTTACCACTGCTTAATTGTACAGTGGGTTTAGGAAGGTTAAGTAATGTTTTCCCTTTTTTTTCATCCTTCCCTCCCTGATTCCCTTGCTTAGCTCTACACAGGCTTCTCCACCACCCCCTCCACTACCACCCACGGCTCGCCGCCCCGCCC